TTCACAGCCGGAGCCCAACGGTGGCGTGCGACGTTCCAGGCCCAGAGTTTGCTCAACAACGTGCCCCTTCGCTGGCATCGGTCGCTTCAGGAATGCAGAGGGGGACAGGCCTCTCCAAGTGGTGTCTCCCGCCTTTGCATCCCCCTGGACTCTCAAAGGAGGAGCATATGCGTCACTCGGCAGCGACAAGCTCCCCCTTCGCACAGCCTGCCCCTCTTGACGATGACTTACGGTTTTCTGCCAGGGCTATGGGTCTTTTAGGTCCTTGCCTGCCTCAATGGCGATTTTCACAGGTGGCCAAGCTGCGCAAGCTTGCTCAAGCCCTGCGCCCCGGGGAGCAAGACCTGCAGGCTCTCATGCCCCCTTCGGTCAAAGCCGTAGCATCTCGCAAGAAGCCCGCTTTTCTGTTGGCATGCGCGATTCTTCTGCGCTGGCCCGACTTAAGCAACGCCTTGCGCTTTGTTACGGGGTACGTGGTTGTGGGTGAGATTGAGAATTCGGGTTTGTTCAGGCCGACTCAGCCGAACGGAAATTCCTGCGTTGGCCTGCCCTCGTTGTTGGGCCAACCTGCCTTGGACAATCTTGATGCTCTGAAGTCCAGAATCCACCCCAGTGATCTCGACGACGAGTTGCGAGAGACGTGTCTTCAGGAGATCTCTCTGGGCCACGCCAGGGGACCTTACACCGAGGCAGAGATGAATGCAGAGTTCGGTGTCGGAGGCTGGAGGCCACTTGAGCGATTCATGATTCTTCAGTCAGACAAGTGCCGTCCTATCGACTCCGGCAAGAAGCCAGGCCATAACGCAGCGGCGCGTGAGAGAGAGAGACCATATACACCACCAGCGTTGATGCATTTCAACCTCTGCTGCTTTATGTGCGTGAGCAGCTCAGTGAATCGGCTTTCGCCGAGGCCTTCCCCAGCCTTGCGCGCTTCGTGGTGGGTACCGAAGACATGAAGCATGCCTACCGCCAGTGCCCGGTGCATCCCTCTAACCTGTGCGTCACGTGCACTGCTTACTGGGATAACGTGGCTAACGAGCATCGCTTCATTGTTCTTCAGGGATTGCCATTTGGGCTATCGTCGGCCGTCTTGTGCTTTAATCGTACGCCAGCCCTGCTGGCAGCCCTCAGTCGCCGCGTCTGCGCAGCTCCCGTTTTACAGTTCTTCGACGATAGCGGCATAGCTGACCTGGAGTGTGCACGAGGTTCGGCTCAAGCAGCCATGCGATCCTGCTTTGACCTGGCGGGAGCTGAATTGGACCCCGGGAAGTCTCAGCCTCCTGCTGCTTGTCGAGTTTTCCTGGGCCTCTCAGTTAATCTTGCGCTTGCACACGAGGCCGACCAGATCAGCTTTGACCTCAAAGCTGGTTTTAGGGAGGCTTTGGCAGACGAAATCCGGTCAATCTTGCAGGATGGGCACCTAAACAGCGGCCGAGCCTCTAAGCTTCGGGGAAAGTTTGGCTGGGCGGCCTCTGGAACTTACGGTCGTTGCGGCCGTGCAGGTTTGGCACCCTTGGTCACGCGCCAGTTTACTGACACTTCGGATGCGCTTACTACATCTTTGCGTGATTGCCTTCGATTCCATCTCCACCTTGCGGAGCTTGTGCCGCCGCGCTTGGTGCAGATGTCTCGGGTGCAGCAGCGACCTGTCAGAATTTACAGCGATGCAAGCTACGAGCCTGCAGCTTCGGTGCCGGCCAGACTTGGATTCGTCATTTTCCCTGGAGATGACGACTCCAGCCCAGTGGGGATGTCTATGGACATCTCCGATGCCGTTCTGCAGCGTTTCCAGGTGCGACAGACTCAGATCAACGCATGCGAGGCCTTGGCAGGCGTTGTCATCCCGGCCAATGCTCCAGACATGTTACAGGATCGCGATGTGATCTGGTACGTGGACAACCAGTCTGCCTGTCAGATCCTCATGAAAGGAGCCAGCTCTGTCCCGGACATGGCGGTGATCGCAGCAGTGACGCAGCTGCTTTTCACACGCCTAAGCTGCCGCGTCTACTTCGAGTACATCGAGTCCGATGCAAATCCTAGCGACGGTCTTAGCAGAGACGGCTTGACGGACGCTTGAACCCTGTCACAGGGATGGCACTTGATGCCAGCTTCGACACCTGAGATCCTCTTCACAGCTTTTGACTCTTTGAGTCAAGCTCTTCTTTTAGTACAGACTTGACTTCGGTTCACTTTGGGGTTTTCTTACTTTGGGGATTTTGTTCGTTCCGAGGTTCTCTGCT